GCCGTTGCCGCCGTTGCCGCCGCCGGAGCTGCCACTCCCGTTCCTGCCCCTATCGAAGGGGTACGCCACTCCTGGTACCGCCCCCCGTCTCCTCGCGTCACGCGAAGATGTCGTACCGGGGTCGAAGGGATGCGTCGGGGCCCCACTCCAGGTTTCATTCAACCCCTCATCCCCGCTCCCATCACCACCGCTTTCCTCGTTGCTGCTGCTGCTGCTGCTGCTGCTGCTACTGCTGCGGCTGCTGCTGCTCACGCCCCCCTCAGCCTTCCCGGGGTCGAAAGGGTGCGTCGGGGCTTCACTCCATATTTCATCCAACCCCTCGTCCCCGCTCCCATCGCCGCCGCTGTCCTCGCTGCTTCAACTGCTGCTGCTGCTGCTGCTGCTGCTGCTGATGCGGCTGTTGCTCACGTCCCCCCCAGCTCATTGGCTATCAAGCTCCTCGAGGACTGGCAATGGCATGGTTGTCGCACCAACCGCCTCCTCCAACTCTTCGTCACATACCTCCGTCACCGATATCGACACCGACGCCTCTGCGGCCGTCTGGACACCCAACGCCAACGCGGCGACCGGCGACGCCGCCGCCGCTGCTGCTGCTGCCGTTCCCCCCGTCACCGATGCCGCCACCGCCGATGCTGCTGTCGGGGACGGCGCTCTGGCTGAAGCCGTCCGCACCGCCTCTGCTCCCGCCGATGCTGCTGTCGGTGACGGCGCTCTGGCCGACGCCGTCCGCGCCGCCGCCGCTCCTGCCGATGCTGCCGCCGCTGCTGCTACTGCCGCTTCCGACGAATGCTTGGGTTGTTGTGATTCCGCGGACGGCGAAACTACAAAAACGTGACACGACCCAAGCATGTGGTCCTCCGCTACACGTCTACTGCTGTATCCGCCCTCCATGAGATTCAGCTCATCGCGTTGCCGCACTACTGCAGGTGCTACACGTGATTTCGCGGGCTGTTGGGGAGAGCGAGTGGCGGAGTGTGTGTTTACGTTGAGAGAAGCTACGTTGGCGGGGGCTTTTACCAACAAATACGCCGCAGACGAACCGGCAGCAGCCCCCCCCCCCTCCTCACCAACGAACACCCCACCACTCATCTGTCCACCTGCACCCCGGGTGAAGCCGTCCGCTAGCTGTTGTTGCCGCGGTTGTTGCTGAGAGTCACCGCCGCACACCACACCTGGCTGCTGCTGCTGCTGCTGCCGACACACAGACCCGCCGCCAAACTCGCCGTTCCTCCGCTGCTGCTGCAACGGTCCGCGGGCGAAAGGTGGAGCTGTACCAGGAGCGCCATTGCAGGACCGTAGAGGTTGCGGCTGTTGACGAGACTGCTGCTGTGGCATGGGCTGCTGCTGCACCGATGGCTGTGGCACGAACCTCTGCTGCACGCTCGGCTGTTGCTGCTGCTGCTAAAGAGTACACCCTCTGCCAAACACGCCGTACCTCCAATGCTGCTGGAACGGTTGCTGTATGGGAACACCTCCGCGGGACTGCTGTCGACCGTGCTGCTGTTGACGAGAAAAACGTCCTCAACAGCCTCGCCGAAAATTTCCACCGCCGACAAAAAGCGTGCGGGTCGCCGGTCGGCGCTGCCGTCCGCCGCGCAACATTCCCGAGGTCTCTCTCGGCGTGGAGGCTACGCACAAGATTCTCCAATCGCTTGCGCGTGAGCGAGCTATTGGCCATGAAGAGAATGTGGACCTGCTCGTTGTCGGCGGAGAGGTTCCTACGAAGCATGGCGAAGACTTCTCTATCCGTGATCGCATCGCCATTGACGGCGCGGAGCGAAGACAGCACTCTGTCGAACCTAGTACTCCTTTTGGTCCTCTCCAAGCTGCATCTTCATGTTCGTGAGAGCCAGCTTTAGTGCCTCCTGCTTGGAGTCACTCATCGGCAGGCAGAACTGTTGTGCAGCCTCCCACGCCCCAGACACAGTCCCAACGGCACGGATTTCAGCCTGAAAGTTTGCCCCCTTCGTGGCGCGCATCAAGTACTCAAACGCATACTCATGATCGCGCACGCGACTCATCGTGCAAGCGGACCTTTCCGCTCCTTGGCAGCACGTTGAGCAGCCAGATGCGTTGGCCTGGACTCGCCGGCTTGGCGAGTGTGTGTGATAGATCTTCGCGGGCGAGGAAGAGCTCGAACAGCGACTTAAACAGTGGGTTGCCGTCGTACACCGGTGGCTTCCGGTCCTTCCGCACGTAATCGCGGTTACGCTGCTGCTGCTGCTCCCGATCATCGAAAAAACTAGCCATCCCCCCGGCTCCAAAAGAAGCCGCCCCTCCGGCAGCTCCATTCTGCTATGATGGTACCTAGGCGCATAGCCAGCGCCGCTTATCCTTATGTTACCTGCCGCATACCCGGCATCACCCACTCTCCTTCTCGCCGCTTCCTCGGCTGAACTCCTCTCCTCTGCGTCCTCGAATCTCCTCTGCGGGTCCTACATCTTGGCTGCCGCTTCCCCGGCTGCTCTCTCGGCTTCCCGCTTCATATTCTCCACTTAGACTACTTATTCTTCTAACTCTCGCTCTTTTTCTCTCGTCATCGCCACTTTCTCGGCTACCGTCCTCTCTCGCCTCGTTTCTTGGGTAGACTATACCCTCTCTCTCGCCGCTCTCTCGGCTACTCCCGTGTTCGGTGACCATCGCCGCGAGCCAACACCTGGCCTAGCTAGGCTCCAAACACGATATCGAGATAGTGTACACGGCCGCCCTCAGCGGTCTGTGGTGTTGTGACTGGGTGCTATGATATTTCTTGCATTGGTTGGGATCGTACGGCATATCAAGTAGGGGGGCTGTTTGTGGTACTACTTCGGATATGTATGTGTCCGATCTACATGCATGCGCTGTATGCGCCTGATAGGGGGTACGTGAATGGGTATGTACGAAGTGCAGACGTATCCAGAAACGGGTATACCCGGGTACTTTATCACCACTTTCGGGAAATCAACGCGCCGGCACCCCCAGGTACCCCCAGGTAGCCACCGGCATCTCCAGACCGTCTGGTGTCACCGGTGTTGGTTACTGGTGTACCCGGAAGT